ATAGACTGCGTGATGCAATCACGGTGGGGAGAATATGCCGATGAATAAACAAATTTCTACCCCAATCCCCTGCTCGTTCCGCAGCCAAGAAACGTGAATTGTTTTCAGCGAAAAAAAAACCGCAATGAACAGTCACACAAAAAGCCATTCTTCTGAAGCGGTGGTCCCCTTTCTCCTGGCTCCCGGTGGTGCGTGTTGATTGCCTCGCTGAGCAGGCCAAGCTGGCCGGGCCGAGGGCCGGGCACGCCGAGGAGCGCGGCACCTAATGGCCAGCCAGCGCGGCCGAGAGCGCCGAGAGCGCGCCGCGGCCCACTCCAAGCGCGCCGTCTTTTTCTAGGTCTGCCTGGAGCGCGACAAGGACCGACAAGGACCGCCAAGGGCGCGGCGAGGGCCGCGTGGGAGGGTCGTTCCGAAGGGCTGTTGGGAAGGACTCCCTGGAAGGGCCTTCTGGAAGGGCCGTCAGGAAGGGTGCTCTGGAGAAGCCGCTACAGGGTTCGCCTGGAAGAGCCATCTGGAATAGGGCCACCTGGAAGGGCCGTCTGGAAGGGTCACCTGGAAGGGCCATCTGGAATAGGGCCACCTGGAAGGGCCGTCTGGAAGGGCCGTCCGGAAGGGTCACCTGGAAGGGCCGTCTGGAAGGGCCGTCTGGAAGGGCCGTCTGGAAGGGCCGTCTGGAAGGGCCGTCCGGAAGGGTCACCTGGAAGGGCCGTCTGGAAGGGCCGTCTGGAAGGGCCGTCTGGAGGCAGCCAGAGGGGGTGGCCGGTGGTGCGGCTCGCCGCCGTGGCGCCACCAGCGCGCCGTCCTGGAGCGCAGCGCTGGCAGCGCGCAGCCCTCCCCACCCGGACTACCCGGACGGCCGGACGGGACGGGGGCCCGGGGGGTTGCCTAGCTCAGTACGGTCGCGGGGCTGGCACAGAGCGCCCCGGTGCGAGGCGAGCCGAGCCGTGGCAAGCCGAGCCGAGCCGTGCCGAACGGAGCCGAGTCGGGGCGTGCGCGGCTGAGCCGCGTGGGAAGGCCGAGGCCGCCGAGGCCGCCGAGGGCACACTTCCTGCCGTGTCTTGGTGTCTGCGTGTCTCCGTGTCTGAGTGTCCCCCGCGCGTGTGTGTTGCCTCCCGAACTGTTCATGACGAGGTAATCGTGTGTGTGTGTTTGCGTGTGTGAGTGTGTTTATGTTGCCTTGTCCTTTACGTGCTGATGGTGGTCGTCGGGGAAAGCCTTCGGGATGTGTTTCGTGGTCGCCCCGCATGGCCGTGCCAGTGTCATCGACGTGCTCTAGACGACGTGCTTGTTGTCGTTGGCGAACACTGCCGGACATCACAGTCATCCTCCACTGAGCCACCGAGTCACTGCGACGCCGAGCGCGCGCGCGTATACGGTCTTGTGCAACGGGTACGCCGAGTGGTGCTCGAATCTGTCACGTGGTTGTCAAGGAATGTCAGTACAAGACCGGCCCAAGAAGCTATCTCCTCGACGAGACAGTGCGAAAACCAAAATACGTCGCGCACCCTGAGATGACAAGGTCACGGTTGAACAGGAAAGTTGACAGAGAAGACTGGGGGCGAAAATAAAACTAAAATGAAACAATGAGGCAAAGAGGAAAGCGTGCGTGCGTGGTGTTGGCACTAGTTGACCGCGGGCATGCGTTGCGCGCGCTGGTGCCGGACCGGTGCCGGACTGGTGCTGGGTGCCGGACCGGTGCCGGACCGGTGCCGTGGCAGATCAGATATCAAGCTGCGGTAGCCATCGAGCCGCAGCCATGCACCGCGGCGGGCAGGGCAGGGCGGGGCAGAGTGGAACAGCACACGGCACGGCACGCCCCACACGGTACGGCCGCCCTGTCGCGTGGCGCTGACGGTTAGATTAGCACGGACGCCGAAACTCAATTTCGGATTCTTTATTCCATTTCCCCCACTTTCCGTGTTTGTGAGGCCAATGCGCAGAGTCGCGAAACGACCCGCGGTACCCGAAGAGGGACGTTGTCAGGGTGCCCCCCTCCCCGGCGAATTCGCACCGCTCGGCAAAAGTTGAAGCTCAGGCCAGATCTGGCCCGTCTTCCCCTTCTTTTTAGCGCGCGGAAACTTTTTTCGCGCGCTAACCGTGGCCGTTTCCGATGGCCGCCCTCTCCGTTCCCGTTTCCTTCCCGGAGGCACCTTAACGCGTGTTGGAAACTAGACCCCTCCCTGGCCGCAGTGGCGGCAGTGGCGCTGGACCCGCAGCCCATTTGGCCCAAGCCGAGCGGCAGACTGATTCCGAGAGCCGCTCTCGTCGCCCTGTCTCTCTCGCATTCACGGGGTGATCTGATGGGTGCGAGAGAGACAGGGCGGCGGAAACGACTCCCGGAACGAGTCTGCAGAGCGCGGGCCGGGCGGGGGGAGCAGCGTGCAGGAAGCGCCCGCCGAGCGCCGGGTAGGCCAGCCCGCCGAGCACGCGGGTGGCGCGGCACGGCCCGCCTCGCAGGCTGTGTCTCTCTCCCGCGAAGGCTCAGGGAGACGGCGCACTGTGGGCCAGAGAAACGGTGGAGGCGGTCAAAACTCTAGACGCATTTTGAGCTCCAGAGTCGCTAAATGGGAGTCGAACCGAGTGTGTGACCCCACCAATGGCTTGCTCTTCGAACGAGGAATCCATTGGTGGGGTCACACGCTCGGTTCAAGTCCTGTTTAGCGACACTGGAGCTCAAAACGCGTCTAGAGTTTTGGCCGCCTCCGCCGGTCTTCTGGCCCACTGTGCGGCGTTTGGGACTCAGAAAAACCAAGTGCGATGTGTACGTGGCCTCCGCGCATGGGATACTTTCCACACGACTCAAACTGCGGAGATGTCATTGCGAGTCGTGTCGTCCCCCACACGAGGCGCGGACACATGACAGATCTACGAGCCAGGACGACGCCGAGGGGGCGGCGACGGCGACGGCGATGGCGACGCGGCGACGCGTCTCGGCCGGGAAATAGATTACCCGTCGCGGTCCGGGCTGACGGATGTGGGTCGACAACATTTTTGGCTTTGACTGCACCTCGTAAATCCGGCGGCCAACGGAGCCGGGCGTGGCGGCGGAGGCGGCGCGGCCGGTCGAGCGGCGGGCTGCACGAGTATCGGACGGACACCACTTTGGGCAGTATTCCATTTGTGCGCGCCTCTGCGCGCGACTCGCCGCCCGGAAGCCCCGAGGGGGGGGGGGGGGGGGGGGAAGGTCATGCCCCGGCAATCTGTTACAGGGATTGCCCGTTCCGGAAAAGATTTCACTCTGAGAGGTAAATGATGGCTAGCCGCTGGCCGGGGCAGCAGCCTGGCGCTTTGCTGCTGGCGCCCCGTTATCGGAAGAGAGAAAGAAAGAGGGTAGAGGTGGAGGAACCGTTTCCCGGCAGGCGCGTCCCAACAAGAAAGCCGTCTGCACGTCCCAAGCGTCCCAGTGGCGCAGTGCAATGCGACGAAATGCATAAGCCGGATCAATGTCTGCCACTCCGCAGTCACCGCGAAGCCCCCTCCCCCTTCCCGTAATTAGTCCCACCCTGCTTGTATCGGCACGCTTCATTTATTCAGGGGCCTAACCACCGGCGGGGCAGGCCTGGCAGGCCTGGCAAGCCGCGCCGCACCCCGCCAAGCCGAGCGACACGGCGCCGGACCGGCGAAACGCCATTCCAACCCTCAGGCTGACCGCAGCCATTTGATTGGCTGCTGTCCGCTCGGCCCGCTCGCGTGTCTGCCCCTTTCCTTCCTGTCTGTCTCCGTCTGTCTGTCTGCCGGTCTGTCGGCCCGGCGGACGGACAGACGAGGACACAACGACGACTGCTGTACGTCGTCGTCCCTCCGTCCCTCCCTTCTCGTGCCCGACGTGTCGTTGTTGTCGGAGGCTGTACAGTGTATTTACTGCGCCATGGCGATGGCCATGGAGAGCACGCGTGTCCATAGACCCCGCACTGTTTGTCGACGGCCCGGAGGCCCCGGACGGGACTGCCCGGGACCAGCTTTGTTGTCGGCGCCAGGAAATTCGAGGAAACTGCTCTCCTCCCGCCTCGCCTCGGCACAGTGGGCCAGAAGACCGGCGGAGGCGGCCAAAACTCCAGCCGCGTTTTGTGCTCCAGAGTCGCTAAATGGGACCCGAGCCGAACGTTTGACCCAACCTATGGCTTGCTCTGCGAACGAGGAATCCATTGGTGGGGTCACACGCCCGGTTCGAGTCCTGTTTAGCAACTCAGGAGCTCAAAACGCGTCTGGAGTTTTGGCTGCGTCCACCGGTCTTCTGGCCCACTGTGCTCCGCTCGCTCGGCGCTCGGCCGTGGACTCGACTCTGTCTCGCGTGGCTTCCAGCTGCCCAAGGACGTCCCCGGCTCTCTGGGGGAGGGGAAGAGCGGCCTTCACTCGTCCCGGTGCCGGGGAATTTGAGTAATGGTTAAACTTGCAGCTTAATGGACAAACTCTGGCAAGACGCGGTGCATTGTTTGCAGCCGGGCGCGACGGCGCGCCGCGGTTCGATCCCCGACTGGCGCCCCTTTTTTTGGTCAGGTTTATAGTTTTCCTTTTCACGCGATAACCAAGGAAGTGGCACCCAGGGCTGCCACTGTTTGCTCGACCAATCTCCACCGAACGTCTTGAGGCAGGCGGGCGGGGCGGACCGACGTGACGCATTCCGTACTCTTGTATCGGCTTTCCCGGACGACCACCTCGAGTGCATGTGTGTGTGTGCGTGTGTGACGCTCTTGGCGCTGCCCGTGCAGGACAGGATGCTCCTCGCGACGGACGCCCTCGCTGCTGTCGCTGCTGGCGCTGCAGCAGGAGTGGCGGGCGAGCGGCTCCGGGCGACACCGTCCGCAGGGGGTGCAGCACGACCGACGGCGACGCGAGGCAGCGGGCGAGGCAGCGGGCGTGCGGGCGCGCCTGCCCGGCGCGTGGCGGGGCGCGGCGCGCGATAACGTCTCACCGGCGCGCTAGCCGTCCGTGCTGGTCTTGCTGGTCTTGGTGGCGGCGGGCGCGCGGTGCGCCGGGGGGGCGGGCGGGCGGGTCGCCCCTCCCTGGCAGGCTCCCTCCTGCCCGGCACTACAGTGCACTGCCCGGCCGGCCGGGCCATGCGAGCCTCGGTGCGAGCGGCCTGAGCCTTGGCCTGAGCTGCCACAACCCCCAACCTCACCCACGTCATGGCGGAGGGCGAGGCGGCCATCGCCGAGATCATCCCCATCCCCAAGACGTTCCTGGAGAAGCTGCTGTTCTACACGACGGCCTTCTTCATCCTGCTGGGGACCTTCAGCCTGTTCGCCTTCCTCTTCCTGGTGCCGTTCGTCATCGACCCGGCCTTCACCACCATCTTCATGCAGTTCGCGCCGGTGCCCGCGCTGTGCGTGACGGTGGACACGTCGTCGTTCCGCGGCGCGTCCAACTGCTCGTGGGCGTCGTGCCGCGAGGGCTGCACGCGCGAGGTGTACGACTGCACGCAGATCCGCGTCAACTACAAGATCGTGGACTGGGCCAGCCAGGCCGGCAAGGCCGATGACACCAACGACGTGCGGCGCCGGAAGCGACGGCGGCGGCACCCCGACGCGGACGTCGACGAGGCCGTCGTGTGGGCGGGCGGGGCCGTCATGTCGGCCGTGGCGGCCGAGGGCCCTGGCGGCCCTGGCGGCCCAGGCAGGGCGCGGCGCTGGGCCAGCCGCCGGGACGAGGACTGGTGGTCGACGCGGCAGCGCTGGCAGGACCGGGACCACCAGCCCCTCGCGCCGCGCAACGACGAGCCCCCCGTGGACGACTACCCCGTGATCGCCTCCATCGACGACGACCTGGACATGGACGCGGCGCGGGGGCTGCACGACCTGGACGCGGCGCTCGACGCGTCCATGGACGTCCTGGACGGCGCCACCCCCACCGGGCTCCAGGGCAACGACTCGGAGTGGTACTTCGTGGGCGCGCGCCTGTTCCCCAACGTCAAGGGCTGTGGATATCCGCCCATGCTCAACTGCTCCGTCTTCCTCAAGAAGTACCGCGAGATCGGCACCAACTTCACGTGCTTCTACAGCAAGATCGACCCGGGGCTGGTCATCGATGACCTGGACATGTGGCAGGTGTACATGAACCTGGTTTACGCCATGGCGATCCCCATCCCCTCCTTCATCATCTCCATCATCTACCTGACGGTGGCGTACTTCAAGATCTACGCCACCGAGGACGACGCCAACGCCACCGGCGTCGAGAACACGCCCCTGCCCGGGTCGCCGCTGCCCGGAGGCACGTCGGGGGGCATCACGCCGATCAGCGAGGTGTTCCGGGACGACATGGCGAGCTTCGGCCACCAGCTCAAGGTGGCCATGGTGGACGAGATGTCGAGGGACAGCGTCATGGACGCGTGCATCGTCACGTCCAACTCGATGGGCAACTGCGTGGGCAGCATCGGCACTCCGCACGGGTAAGCCAGCCACTCACGTGGAGCTTTCTAGTTCCTTCCTTTCCGACGGACTGCGCGCGCGGCGCGGCGGCGTGGCCCAAGGCGTGCCCAGGCTGCCCGCAGGCAAGCCGCGGCACGCGAAGGGCGTCCTGCAATCCCATTGGTTTATAATGACGGGGAGGGCTCCTTGCTCTTTCCCGGCCTTTCTGCGCGTTTCCGGCGTGGTGTGCGGTGCGTGGCCGGGGCGGGGCGGGGCGGGGCGGCCAGACGTACGGCTGCCCCTTCCGGTGTAGTGGCGTGCTGCAGTGCTGCCGCCGCCGGCCGCAGTGCTCTGTGGATTTGTCGTGTTGCTTCGGGGCCTCGGTGACCACGCGAGGGAGCGGGCCCGCTGGGACTGCGCTACGACGCACGCACTCGTGACAGGGCCCAGTCCCTCACTGTCACTTTCCCTCGCACCTCGGCCTCAGGCCGCGCCGCAGGTACCCGGCTCACCGCGGCGGCCCGGGTTCGAAACCCGCGCGGTGCTATTTTCAGCACTTTTGCCCACTTTCCGCCGGCGTCGCTCCCCCAACCCCCGCGCCGTCCTCCCCAATCGCATCGACCGGTGAAAGCACAAATATTTCATGGCGAAACGCGAGGAGTGTAGTGCCAGAGTCACCCGGCGCGCCGCGCCGCGCTGCACGCAGGACTGAATCCGAAACAGTGATTCCATGAGGTCGCTCTGTCGCTCCCGCCCCTACGGACCGCCCCGTGAGTGCGAGAGAGCGCGCTGTTCGGTATGGCTCCGGCTGACGAGACTGACCATTGATCGGAAGCAAGACAAACACTCCGCCTGTTTACCGCTCTTGTCCAGTTCTCCGAGGCGCTGGGCTGGCTGGCCTGCCCACGCGTATCGCATGACAGAAAGTGTTGTCGGAGCGGACGCGGTGGGTAACGGCCCCGGATGCCGACCCTGAGCGAGCATCACTGGGATATCGGCCACGCCGGGCGACGCCGGGGGCGCGGCGGCGCGGCGCGTCATAATTGCGGAATTTATGGGTGACCCCTTCCGGTTTCGGTGCCGGTTCCGGTTTCGCCGCGACCCTGCGGGTCCGCACCCCTCGGCCTTCGCTTTGGCTCTCATTAATTCAAGCGTCGGTAATGCCTGCGCCTCCCCGCGGGCCTTCCTTTTTAATTCCCGTTCCGCTGCCCTCACTGTCCGTCTGTCCGTCTGTCCCTCTGTCCGTCTGTCCGTCTGTCCGTCTGTCCGTCTGTCCGTCTGTCCGTCTGTCCGTCTGTCCGTCTGTCCGTCTGTCCGGCTGTCCGTCTGTCCGTCTGTCCGGCTGTCCGTCTGTCCGTCTGTCCGGCTGTCCTCTGTCGTGCTGTCCGTGTCGCTGTCGGCGTCGCTGTCCGTTGTCCGGCTGTCCGACGTCCTGCCGTCTAGTCGTCTTCCGCTGTCCATGTCCGTTGTCGCGGCTGGAGCGCTTTAACTTGTTTCGCCATATCGATTGACTGGCGAGGAGCGCCGTGGTCACCACCATCGCGTGCGCCTGCGGGGCACAGTGGGCCAGAAGACCGGTGGAGCTCAAAACGCGTCTAGAGTTTTAGCCGCCTCCACCGGTCTTCTGGCCCACTGTAGGGTGGGGGCGCGTGAAGGGGAGAGGCCCTTATCCCGGCCGCCGCATATTTGATGCCGCGCTGCGCCGCGCTGCCGGGCTTCGTCGCCCCGTCTCTCTCGCACCCACGGAACGGCGCATGAGTGCGAGGGGGAGTGGCACTGCCGGCACTGCCCGGTGGCTCGTAAAACCTGCCCATGACGACTCATTGAGGTTGGCCGCGGCCCTTCGGCGCGCTTCGGCCCCCTTCTGCGGCCGGCCGGCCCCGGCGTGCCCTCAAGGAGCTTCATTTGGCGGGGGCTATGAGAAATTCAGCGCCATGACTGGGCGCCGCGCCGCGCCACGCCTCGCTGCGCCGTGCAATGTCGAGACTGCCTCCTGCGCGGTCGGTCGGGCCGGACTCCAACGACGCCGTGTTTCCCGTCGACTTGCTGCTTTTGTTTTTGTTTCCCCTTGGCGCCGTAAGGCAGGCCCCGCCTTGGCGTGCGTGACGCCCTGGGGCCGTGGGTGCAAGACCCGCCCCACGCTTTTCCAGCCGCGAGACACCGGATTGAGCACTTCGAGTTGCGTGCCGCTCCCCCGCGAAATGTGGCGTAGTGAAAGGCCAGTGGCACGGCGGGGCGGGGCCGGGCGGGGCCGGGCGGGGCCTACCTTTACGGCGGCCCGGAGCGAAACGCACTCTGCCATGTAAATGCCGCCATGTTTATGCATCGGGTTGCATGCGGACGGCGCCCCGCCCCGCCCCGCCCCGCGGTGCATTGCAGTCGTTGCGATCGGCGTCCCAGAGACAGGGACCCACCCAGGGCACCGAGTGCTGCCGGCTGCTGCCGGCTGCTGCCGGTCCCACGCTCGGCCGATTGAAAAGCTCGGCCGGGACCGAGCACGCTGCAGTAACAATGGTCAGTGGCGAGGATCAGGCATGAAGCAGATTGTCCCGGTTTGTAAAACAAGAGCCCTTGCAACTGGGATCGGCGTCCCCCACAGCAGCGCCGCTAGCCGCGCTGTGGCCGACACAGTGTAAGCCTGGCCGGGCTGGGGCGGCAGGCAGGCGGGCAGGCAGGCAGGCCAGCACCCCCACCCCTCGCAACACGTTGGCACACAGCATCACAAACGAGGGGTTCTACTCGGGGGAGCAAGTTGCCAGGGGACCGGGCCACTGCACCGATCCCTCGACCCCTGGGCCCTGGCTGGCCCTGGCTGGCTCTGGGGTCCCTGGGCCCCCTCCCCCGCAAGGACCCCCTCCCCCCTCCTCCCCCACCCCTCTTCCCAAACTGAGCGCGGTGTGCCGCTGACGGCCGGAGAACTTGCAAGCGACACGTTAAATGAAAAGGGACAAACGGAGGTCGCGGCGCAGTGCGCGAAACTTTGCGAAAACTGTGACGGCAATATCAGTTCCGCCGGGCTAGCGCGCCAGCCCAGCACCCGAGCCGCATTTCGATTTTAAAGTGTCATGCGAAAGGAACCGCGCAGCGCTAGCGGTGGCGGCGCTGCAGTGTACGTCGAAGGTGGCGCAGGCCCTAACTGTCTCGCTTGTTGGTTTGTTGCAGAAACTTGAGCAGGACAATGACGACCAGTATCACAACTCCGCCTGGGCCGATAGCGGAGCTCTGAAACGCAGTTTCCAAGGCCTGGGCAACATCAACTGGAGACCCAAGTAACGCGTGCCATTACTGTAGCCCCTCGGCCTTCGCACTTTCCATCAGTAAGTACGCGTGACGCACTCGGCACTTGGACGCACCAGGGAGTCTTTGTTTTCTCTCGGGTGAGAGTCACAAAACTTGCCAAAAACTTTTGCACTCCTACTGATAAACGATGGAGAAAAATCGGTTGTATCTGTGCGAAATACGAAATGTGATATTACATACACTGCAAAACTGACGCCTTTCTCACTTTTGGAGGTATTGCGAACTGAGGACTTATCTGTACAGTCCCACGAAACAGGGTCTAAAATACAGACGGCTTTTGTGGATTTCGTCCATGAGCAGCGTTTAAGTGGTTTTCTTCCTAATCAGTGTGATTAGTCTTAGTCGTACAGTCTACCGCAAAACCTCTTGATGGTCGGAAGGCCTCAGTGTTTCAGTGCAGGTCCTTCAAAATGAGTTTAAGTGTAAGCCACTGCATTTTTATAGAAATATTAGACTACTGCGTTAAGTGTTTTCATGTGTTGTGTTGTTATTGTGTCGTTTTGATCGCTCATACACTTGTGGAAACATATTGTCAAGGTCTTCCCCACTTGACTAATATACAAAAGCAAGTTCTTTTCTTTGGTATGAACTCCCCAGGAAAGTTGAGCTCTAATAAAAAGAATTATGTTGTCATAATAAAGCCGTGGCTTCAAGTTCTTGTTCTTCTCTGTCACTGCCCTTCGGAAACGTTTCCTTGCCTACCTCTTACCTGTTCACTCCCAGTGTGGGCGGTAAGCCTGCGACGCAGCGTTACCTGATTTTAGACATTTGTTGAAACAATCGACTTGTTTACATGCATTCTGCTCTTGCGCAGAAACTTACTGAACTTTTCAATTTTGTAGTTGTTGATCTTTTCCAAATTTAATATAAGGATGTCTTCTTGTACGTTTGGCTTTTCAACTTTATCTCGTAAAGTTTGCTCAGAACCTTAAAAAAAAGTAATAATCTAAAGATGAAAAGGAGACTGTCCTGTAAAAAAAAGAAGAAAAACGAATATAAAGAATCTTCTGTTGAACGCTTCTTGAGTTTTAGAAAGCAGCAGGTGAAAATGTTTCAACCTTCTTTTCGTATATGTAGTGTAAATAATGACCTTGCTGTGATATTCTTGCCGACAACTAGGGCTGGGGTTCGTCCTTTGTGTCAATGCACGACTGTAGTATTGAAGAAGGGTACGCTGTACGCAGTCCGTCCGTTGTCTTAAACGCTCCAGGAAAATCCCACGTCTCAATTTCGACCAAAATTCCAAAGAAAACAGTAATGATATGACGAATAACAGTTGGTTCATATTTGGAGTCCACAACCTTTCGATACAAGGGTGGATATACAAATAAAGGAGGCATATGCCATTGTAACTTCTGTCTGAAAGTACACTGAAAAAGCGTAAGGGTCAATAAAGTTCCAAATACAGTAGTTCAAAGTCGACTTGGGATTCTGCAGAGCTTGGCTCTACGTCCTGGTAGAAGGTTTTCCACTTTGTGCCACAAAATTTTGAGTATTTTAAGTCCATTAACAGGAATTGATTTTTTCCTTAAGAGATTTTTTTCCCTCTAAGAAGACATTTTTTCTAAACTTTCTGTCATAGGCAAATGTTGAAGTGGTGCGGCATGTATGTTCAATGCTCTCATTCCACAGGAAAATTCCTCATATTTTTAATATCTTTATTTTACTGAATATTGCCTGCTTATAATTCAGTAACAGAACAGTCTCCAAATTTTTTAAACAATAATGTACGCGCTAATTCATGTAAACTTAAATCTTAATTTAAATAAAGTATCTAAAGAGTGGCTGGGGCTCTCAACACACTCTCTTGGAGTTTGTTTCCCAATTTTATATAAGAAGCAGATAATTCTATTCTACTATTTTAAAAAAAGGCGTGAAGGAAATATTTTTGGTCATGTTGAATCAAAATTATACAATACGGACCGAAGTGCAACCCACCTGTTTTTCCGACAGGCTTTGCATTTTGTGAGATATTTTCATTTCTTTCAGAACATTTGTACCTTGAGTTGATAGCGTAGATATATGACACTAAGTGAGATGAACAACTCAATGTGATAGAATAGAGGCTAAGTCCCTCCACCCCGCTGGAGAGCTGTTTCTAATCTCCGTGTTGCGTTTCCCTTACGTAAGTCACGCTAAGAATGCTAAAATAAATAAAAAGACTTATAAATTGGCTCTGAACTGATAAGAACACTTAAACATTTTTAAGATTAGAAAACTGCCAGTTAGGCACAATTTGCTTTTTGCCGATTTTATGGGACAGGTTGTACACGTCTTGAGCACATGCTTGAAACAGACTCTGTGAAACGAGCGTCCCCAGAGCAGAGCTTGCCGAGCGTGGAGTAGATTCGTCTATATAGTGATTAGAAACGTTTCCTAATCGCTGAATCCCCCCACCTTTCTCAAGTTTAAACATTTTGTTTTGACGAAAACATGTGCCTTAAACACAGCGACGGTCGGTGCCATTGGGATCAGCTCGTCAAGACGCCACGTGGAGCAATAAGCAAGCGTTTTATTGTTGTTATTGTTGTTGTTACTCGGCTTTGCAGCGAAAACAAGCGTGATGCCAATTACTAAAGTAATGAGTACTCTTGTTGTAAATTTGATACCCGGATGTAAATCTCTCTCCTTTAATCCTGTTGTTAACATTAAATGATTCAGAGTGTTTCAAACCCGTGTCTCTTCTTTCCCCTGTCAAAACACCGCAAGCGGCGAGGCGGCTCAAAGGGCTGTAAGCCGAAGACCCACGACAAGCGGCGGGGCGGGGCGGGGCGTTCTTCGAGGGGCAAACAGGGCGAGGCGGCGACTCGTTTGGCGGGGCACTCGGCTGCACCGTCCGGAAAAAAGAAACACTTCCAGTCCGCGCTGCTCCGCGCTGAGGGAGAGAGAGCGCGCTGGCCGCTGAAAGGACTCTTCAGTGGAAAATCAACGACGACGGCCACTCCCCGGTGGGCTTGACCCCAACCTGAAAGGCCCCAGTGAAAACCAGCCGGAATTCCGCGCGCGGAGTGGCGGGGCGGGTCCGGTCGGGGCAGGGTGGGGCGGGGCGGGGGAGGGGGCGGGGCACATTTCTCGGAGGGTTGTCCACCTCGGCGACCAGGCCCCACAGTGTCTTGCGCGGAACCAGGGTCTGGCACGGCAGGCCGGGCACGCCAGGCGCGGCGAGACCATGGGGAGAGGGCCAGGGTCGGGGTAGGGAACGCACACCCCCTCCGACCCGCCCCGCTCTTGGCAGTAGGCCACCCCACCCCCTGCCCCAGAGACGTGTCTCCAGTGCGGGGGCGGTGCGGGGGCGGGTGGGGTAGTCTGATCGATACGAACCAAGTACGACGATGGGGGGGCCGAGCTGGGGGCCGGGGGCGGTACGGGGTACGTGTGTTGTGGGGGTGGCGGGGAGGGGGGCATTTAAAGCGGGGGATTAAAAGTGGCTGTGCTGCAGGCCTGCGGTCTGAGCGACAGGTCCTCATTCGGCCGGCCCGCCTGTCCAAAGTGCGCTAAGCGTTGCCGCCACTTAGGGAAGTGCTTTACTTTCGACCGTCGACTCGGCGAGAAGAAGAAGAAAACGCCCTCAACAACAACCAAGGCATAGACAAAAACAAGGACGCGGCACTCGGTCACGCGTAGTACTGTTGCGGTCCGAGGGCTGCCTACAGCTTACCTTCGTCGTGTTGCCTTCTGCTTTTTCCCGCCGTGGGCTGTTCTCGCCGAACCTTCTTTACCTCAACCAGACTCGACGTCCCCCCACCCCCCTCTCTGCTCATTAGCTGGAGCCTCACTCCAGCTCCAGCACGCCCCCTCCCAGACGACGCCTGTTCTGTCGGCGCCAGCATTGTCTCCCGCTTGCCAACTTGTGTGGAGTAAAGTATGGTTACGTTCCGTAATTTATATTAACTGCGAGATTTTTTTTCGTGTGCTTGTCGCCAGGCTGAAGAACCGACGGTCGTCGATATCATAGTCTCAAACAAATCTCACGAGGAAGGCTACTCAGTTTTCTGGTTGTATGACAGAAACCTAAAACGCATCCCCTTTAAAATGGAACATTAAAAAAAGTTTTTGCTAAATTTTGTGTGACCTTAACAGTGCAACGAGATCACATTCGTGCCCCCTTTTCTTTTTCTGTTCTGCCAGAAAATTCCATTTGCCCCAAGACTGCGGCGGCCTTCTCTTTTGCTGCCTTCACTTAGGGAAAATGGCATCAAAGAGGAAGAGGGGGATGGGACCGCGGGACCCTAAACAAGGAGGAGTGCCCCTCGTGTTTGCTGTTTCGTGAAACTAGGAATAGTTCCCCGGCCACCAACTACATTCAAACAAACTAAAAACAAAAAAAGTTGAATGCAAATTTCAGCTTGCGATACATTATGCACGCACGCACTCACACTCTCCTCCCTGGGTGGGCGTAAGCTGCCTCTGTTTGGTGCGAGGGCATTTGTGTCGTAAAAAAACAAAAACAACTAAAACCGACCTTCTCTCTGCCGGCATCGCATGCTATTTCTCATGACAAGGTCGCGGGGAAATATGTGCGTCCTGTCGCCAAGGTCAAAAAATGTGGACGACGCACTCTGGGCGTTATGTGTATTTCAATTCCTCCCCTCCTCCCCCTCCATCCCCTCCCACTCTACGACCCTTCCTTTATCTCCCCGCTGCTTCAGTTGCCGACCGCGAGAAGTGACTGATGCCTCGTCTCGCTCCATTGACCACAATACGGCTTTTCAGCGGTCCCCGCCGCTTCTCCCCTTTCGGACAGATAATACAGACCGCCCCAATGACAGACAGACAGACAGACAGACAGACAGACAGACAGACAGACATACAGACAGACAGACAGACAGACAGACGGACAGACAGACAGACAGACAGGCAAACATAGAGCGCGGCCCAGCGTTTCTGTGTTGCGAGTCCCTGACGGCCGTATTAGTTTCCGTAAGGCCCGCACAAGACGTGGCCGGAATGCCTTGGGCGGGCCGATTTAGGAGATTGAAACAGAAAGCGCAAAATTAGCGGCACAGTTGGGCCGAGTTGCAAGGAACGGGCGGGTAAGTGTGCGGGGTAACGACGTGTCTGTGGTTCGCCCGTTCGCTCTGAGTGGAAGGGCGGCGAAAGTCGGAGCATTTCCTTGGTTTCGCTGCGAGCCCTGACGGGGCCAGGGCCGCGGCTGCGGTGCATTCCGCCCAAGTCGATGGCCAGTGAAGCCCAGACTCTCCGCGATACGAACAACAACATAAGCAACAACAATGCTGGCTGATCCCGCCAGAAGGCCGGAATAGTTGCTTCCCTTAGAGCAATACACCTTTAAAATCCACGGTTCGAATCTGCCCTTCACCTCTCATTTTGTCTCTAGAAATAGCCTCGCCCCGATCGAGGGCACAACCAGTCGGCTACCAGAGTGAGGCTATTTCCAGCGACGAAATGAGTGGCGACACCATTTCTGCATGAGACGCCTTGTTTTTTTAACAGGGAGGTCTTTTTCGTCCGCTTCCATGAGGCTTGACTGGCCTCTGCCCGGTCCATTGGGAGGGACAAGGCCGGACTATAGTCGCTTCATCTCAACGTAAGCCGTGCAGGCCGGGGCGGGGCGGGGCGGGGCGGGGCGGGGGGGTGGTGCAAGGACGTTGCTCGGCCCTCGGCGGAGAGACGGGCCGGGGAGCAGGGGGCGTCCCGGAAGAGGGGAGGGGAGGCAGAGGGATGGCCGTTGGTTGGTTTTAAGAGAGCGAAGGCCGTCCGGGACGGCTTGTTTCAGCGCCAAAATCCCGCTGGCACCTCACCAACATTTTCTAAAATTATTTGTAAAAAAATACAACAATTGTTATGATAAGAAAATAACAATGTTATGATTGATACGTAAGGCCTACATTGGTATGGAGCCGCGGGCCGGACGGGTGTTGTCAAAATGATGAGGTGCACCGCCCGCTTGAGTAACGGCCTGCATCCCTCTGCCGGACCTGGGCGGTTTCGGAAAGAGATGGCGAGAAAAAGGAGGAGAA